CCAGAAAAGGTATAGATGAGAAATGAATGAAGGGTGGATTGAAAGACGGGTTGGATCGGGTGTGGACGATCATTCATCCAACCCATCACCTGACCCGTCACCCACTCCATCCACTCACCTGCTAACCCGCATATAAATATATATACACATAATGTTATATATAACATCTATTTAATAATATATATAATAATTAATATTTATATGTTAATAGATATGCATTTGTTGTTAATGGAGAAGACACATATCTATGAATGGGTGAAATAAAGACAATCGAAGAGTTTCAAGAAGTGACAGTTGAATTGAAAAAAGAGTTTTGTGCTGATGCAAAATATAAAAAAAAAGGATGACACCCCATCCCTGAGGGCCCCCCAACCCCGACCGGACAGTACGTTGGGAGGATGTAAGTTGGACTATAATCCCAATCTAACAGATAGAAAGTGGGGCTCTGTCCCCGGTACTTGCAGAGGCCCTATGCATTTTTTAGCATAGTAACCCCTCATCGCAGTTGCCGGGATTCGAACCCGGGACCTAACCCTTGTGGCACTCCCTTCCTACCAGTTGAGCTACGCCCACCGGTAGCTGATGCAAAATATAAAATTTGACAGCTTGAAGAAGTTCTATGTTTATTTTGTTAACAATCAGTTCTTTTTTATTAGCAGTGAATTAATGATTGTAATATACGTAGTTGCTCAAGTTTTTGATGTTATTATTCAATGAATTCTTAATTTTTGGTTTTTAATTGTCACAACTTCTCTTTATAATTTATTTATTTTGTCTTTTAAGTTAGACCATTTATATTCACATGTTACTCACCCGATCCACCCGATAACCCGTTCATGATGGATGAGTTGGATGTGGATGTAGTTTTTAATGGATGATGGACAGGTGAGTGGAATACGAAAAATTAACGAGTGGACGTTGGTGAGCTTTCATCCGGTACAAATCCGACACGCTACCACCCCTAATTTTGGACTTTTGGTTGATGCTAATAAAACAAATTTTTAGTATACATGCTAATTTGAATATAGATAGAATATGTTGGGTAATAATATCAAATATACTATTATTCTCTAATTTTTTCACTTAAATTCAAGAAATTTAATTTTAACTAAATGTAAAATTACATCTTTAATTATTGGCAAGTATTTGGAATAGAGTAAAGTAGTTTGAAATTTCAAAATGTGTTTTCCATATTTTAAACAAACTTATTATTATCCTTAAATTACAATATATTTGGACCATTAAATAAAAAAAAATGAAATATAGTAAAAATGATCCTATTGTACAGTTCCAACCAATTCAGGGGGCTTTTGGACTTTGATTATTATATAATTCAGGGGGCTTTGAAATTAAATTTTGTAGTTAGTAAAAGTGACTCATAAAGAAGATAAAGATGAAAATTGGGATGAAAAAATAGACCTTAATTTTTATTTTATACTCCTTGTTTATAGAATCAAAAGTGGGGTTTGAAAGGTTTACCACTTGGTTGGTGACCTCTATTTCTAGGTTATCAATCTTATTAGTTCGTCATTTCATCATTTTCATTTACCCCAGTGCCGCAAAGGCTCCCACCTACGGTGGAGTAAGGGGGGGTCGGATGTACGCAGTCTTACCCCTGTACTAAAGCACAGAGAGACTATTTCCGGATGACCCATAGTGAAAATCGTGTCCAAAATTGCATGGACTGACTGATGCTCCATAACAAAGAAGCGCAGACAGTTTAGTGAACCATTTTGCTTTATTCCATCATAATCTCAAGCCAAAAAATGAATCTTTGGCTCCATTGCAAATGATGGAAATAAACACATAACTTTTGATTTCACATGTTGAGTTATAAAATAAGAAATAATTACATAAATATGACCAAAATAAAGATGTTTTACAAAAATATGACTAGTTACTAGAGTAGTAATGAAATCATAGTAATTTATGTTCAAGTTTTGAACTTAAGTTACCACAACACTACATTGTAGTAATGAATAGTCATATTTATGTAAATAAGTTTTATTTTAGTAATATTCTTGTAAAAACCCATAAAATAATCAAAATAAATAGGAAAAATTGAAAATAATAATCCCAACCATTGCCGGTCCGCTAACAATAATCCCAACTATTGATTATTTTTGTATAATCCCAATTATATGGACCGTCCACCAATAATAGTCCATGACCACATATTACATACTCTAACAAGTGAATTTTTAATAGAAATTAAGCATAAAAATTAAAATTTGGGATTATTTATAGGGATTACCTGCTATATCTCTTTAGAAACTATAAGAATTTATTTATTGTCGGTCACGTCGGACCATTATTGGCGGAAGGTCCCTAAAGTTGGGATTATTCTGAAATAATCGATAGTTGAGATTACTATGAGCGGACCGCCAATAGTTGGAATTATTACAATCAATTTTTCCAAATAAATAAGATTGTAGATACTTTTTCTGAATTGATTGAAATTGTTGTAGTTGACTATATTATTTATTTTTTCACATAAAATTTCTTTATTTTATATATTAAATATATTTTTAATATAACTTTTCAATCAAATTTCATGAATTTTAGATGGTTCAACCAATATTAATGTTTCGAAACAGGCTCCTAATTTGATTATGAGCTCGTTTGGTAACAATGGAGTTGACTGAATCAGCTGATTCTGTTGAAATTTATGAAGTTCTGACTAAAGTGGCTGAATTAATTGATTCTGCTCAGTTATAAATGAAAAAATTAAAATAATTTTTATTAATAAGATAAAGAAAAAATTGTATAAAAAATAGCTAATATGATACTCTACAGTAACTTCAACCATTAGAATCAGACATTTTTCATTATTACGTGTTTGGTGGAAAAATTAATTGAATTAGAAAAACTAGGGGTGGGCGCGGTCCGGAACGGTCCGGTAAATTGGTAAAACCCGTAATGTATCCGTGAGGTTTTTAATGGTCCGGTACGGCCCGGTTCCAAGGATAGAACCGTTCGGTACCATGTCGTTTTGGAACGGTACAAAAACTGTACAGTACAATGCCAAACACATGCTAAATTTTTTGAACAAATCTTGCAATTAGTAGAATTCATCACATCAACCAACTCACATATATGAAATGTTGAAATAAATACAAGAAAATGCATACCTAGTACTAAAATTCACAAATACACAAATAGTGCAATGCAACTAAGAAAAAGTATGGCAAAACGATGACGCACGAGATAAATATCATTTTTAATTTACTAAGTTCATGTGAACATATAAAAACAAATATCATCAAATTGTTGAATATAATAGAAATCTTCAACGTTCTTCTTCTTCGTTCTAGGTTAAATATTACCCCGTAGTTCTAATTTAATTTATAGTTGAACCTTGAGAGTTAAGATTTGAACCATATTAATTAAGTTGTAAAAATGCACAAACATGATACAACAAAAAGTCATGTACACTACATTCCTAGAAATAAATAATCATTAATGATTTCTAAAATTTTAATATTCTTTCAATACATACCAAAATATAACATAAATTATTTAAAAAGAAAAACTAACAATATATATATAAACAACACATTTTTGATATCTTAGGGACACATAAATACATACTTGAGGTATAAAATTGTTGGTCTAGATTTATTGATATAGAAAAAATATAAAAAATTCAAATGCATTATTTACGAACGGTTCGGTCCGGTATTTTTCAGTTCTCAAAATCTAGGACCGGTCCCGTACCCGTTTCAAATGGTACGGTTTCGATACTAGATAAAAATCTATAGAACCGTTTAAATACCCGGTATTTGGTTCGGTACCATTATGGGACAGTTCGGTACCAGTTCGGTTCGAGTTTTATGCCCACCCCTAAGAAAAACATTTGAAATATTGCCCTAAAAGGGACTAAATTATTGGTGAAACTCTTAAATAGGACTAATAATATTTTTTTGCCATAAATGGGACTGGATTACCCATTTACCCCTATTCTTTTCCTTTCCCCTCTTCCTTTTCTTTTTCTCCCATGCGGCGCATCTTCTCCCCCTTCTCCCTTGCGCATCTCCCCCTTGCGCAATACACCTTCTTCTCCTTCCCCTTCGCACTGGAACAACCAAAGCGTCGAGCCTGCCACCGTTGACGTGAAGTTCTCCGCCACTGCCCATTCATAGCCATCACTGTCGCCATCGCCGTCGGAGATCTTCCCTTCTTCGAAGGTAGTTTCTCTCCTTCCTCCCCTCTTCTCCAGTTCTCTCCCTCTTCTATTTCGTTCCAGATGCTCGATTTCTTCTTTGATTGGTAAAAAATATCAAGTTCAATACTGAAAATGCCATCAAAATGACATCATTATTTTACAAAAATTTTGTATTTTCCTTTGAAAATGCCATTACAATGGTATCCCTGGTTCATCTTTTCGTTGCATGACCAAAGCTCTATTTCATATTTGTTTGTTAAAAAATTCCATATCTCGTTTGAAAATGCCATAAAAATGGCATTCATCCTCTTCAAAAAATTTCATGTTTTCCTTTGAAAATGCCATTTAGATGGCATTCTCAATTTATGATGGCATCTTGATAAAATGTTGGCATAACCGGCGTCGTTGGCCGGATCTGCAGCGGCGGAGGTCGGGTGTGCAGTGGCGGAGGTCGGATTTGTAGTGGCAGCGGCCAAATCTGTAGGGGCGGCCGGGGGCTGGTGGCGGTGGCCTGATCTACGGTGTCGGAGGCCAGATCTGCGGCGGACGCAGCCAGATTTGCGGCGGACGCGGGCAGATATGCAACGACGACCATTCTGCAGCAGCGGCCGTCAGCGGCGACCGGAAACCTGAGGCGGTACGGTGTTCTGTCGGTGGCAGTACGATTTTTCAAGCTTTAGGGATGTTTTTATCCAATTATAATTAATAACTCCTATTTTGTGATTTTTTAAACTTTAGTCCTATTTTGGCAATTAAAGATGTATTTACCTCAAAACATTGTTACAAAACGGGTTCTATGTGACCGATAGAAAAAAGAAGCCCATTAAAATAATAGCAGCAGGCCCGTCTATAGAAATCCAGAATCCCGAGTCGGGCTGAGCTGCCGCAAACTAGCGGTGCCTCTGACAGTCCTCCTGCAAAAAAACTTGACTAGAGGAAGAAGGAAACGAGCAGTAGCAGATTTTCTGAGGGAAGAATGACCTTCTAGCCTTTTGTGTTTCTTCATCACTGCCTCTTTCGAACATTTTGTAAGCTGAGAAAGATGTCTAAAACGTCGTCATCAACTGCATCAAAGCTGATAATCCGAAACCTGTATCAGTGCATTTCATCAAAATCCTCAGGACAAAGTGCTCATTCAAGTGGCATATCGCATTTCATCACCCGCAATCAGGGACTTACCCAAAGCCCAATTCCATCTCCATGGATATTACAGAGAAACCATTTTTCTTCTTCCCCATTTCCCATGTTCCCCCAATCTCCTATCAGGAAACTTGACCTACATGGTAAACTGGCTACTAATTTTATATCCACGAGGAACGCATTAGGATCTAGTAGATTTTTCTCGATGAAGGGTTTTGATTTGGGTTCGAAGGTGAAAGGTGCAGTTGGGAGGAAATCAGGGAAGAATCCTTTGGCAGCTTTGAAGAATGTGTTTTTGAGGTATAGAGAAGCTGCGGGCTTGCAGATCGAGGCCTTCTGGAAGAGAAATTCCTTGGTGTTATTTGGTGCCCTTGGGTTTATGATTTGCATTTTGCTTTGGAGGCTTTTGTTTGGTGTTGCCAGCACGTTCATTGGGTTATCTGAAGGCATGGCTAAGTATGGCTTCCTCGCCCTTTCCACTGCCATTGTCTCATTTGCTGTGAGTGTTTTCTTCATAAGTATCTGTTGCTGCTGCTAGCTACGGAGTATTGCTCGTTATTATGCTTTTATTTGTTTAATGCTCATCATTTTATTAATCAAGTATATTGTGGGAATAGGAGTTAGGTTTTATGGTTGAATTACGCCACTTTGCCTTAATGTGAACGCTCTCTAGCAGCCTGGCACTATTTAGATGTGCCACATGAGAATATAATTTTCACAATGAACTCAAAGAAGCAAGATTTTATACGAATTGGTTGCTGCTTGTGTAAAAATTTAAGGAGATTGGTCTGGCTTTAGATATTTCCTCATAAAGCTTCCCCCTCCCCACCCCCCACCCCCCCACCCCCCCCGAAAAATTAAATTAATGCTCAGTGTTTAGTGGAAATGAGAATGTCTGAATGTGCTAAAATATACTAAAACACGATTACAAACTTGATTAGCAACTTCCATCCTCTTTATGGGTTACAGCTGTATCTCTGATCTCTTTCTTGCTTCTTTATACGTAGTACTACGTATCTGTTTTCCATCATACATACATGGTTTTTACTTTTATGCTTATGCCCCGTTTGGTAGCATTAATTGGCTCATTCATCATTTAACAGAATAAGCAGTATATTCGTACTAAGCAAGGTAACTAGCCTTTGACTTGCATTTTTGGCTGAAATGAATTGAACCAAATGATTCTTTTTCATAAATTTCAGCTGAATAATCCTTACCAAATGTGCCCTACACCCCTACTCATTCTTTATTAGTTTAATATTCATTCATTGTTAGTTGAGGGTATAAAGATGGCAACTTTTGCTAAATATTGATTCTGCATTCTGTTTTATTCTTCTGTCGTAAGGGATTGTATGCACGAACACGATTCACGATCAATCCTGATAAAGTTTATAGAATGGCCATGAGAAGACTGAATACATCTGCTGGAATACTTGAGGTCATGGGTGCTCCTTTGACAGGGACAGACCTTCGAGCATATGTGATGTCAGGGGGTGGTGTTACACTGAAGAACTTCAAGCCACAGTTTAGAAACAAAAGATGTTTTCTGATTTTTCCTATACGAGGCTCTGAGAGGAAAGGCTTAGTGAGTGTTGAAGTCAAAAACAAGAAGGGCCAGGTTTTATTACATCTGTTTCTGTCTTCTTACCTCTGAATCTCTTATATTTTGCTCTATACCCTTTGTGATAGAACTGTTTTTGTCTGTGTTTAGCATTGACCTGTTTTTCACATTATTGTTCTTACTTTATGGTGCTGCATATTATAAACTATATGTGCTTGTAGACTAGGATACCGGGGCCTTCGAGTATAAATATAACTGCTCAGACTTTCTCTTAGGGTCCCTTTGGATTGAGTGACTTAAATAAAACTAGGTAAATATATAAATGTTGTTCGAATAATTATTCGGTTAACCGAGTTGAATCTAGTAAAATATTATTTGGATGGAGGCTTAACTAGGTGAGCCTACTAAAATTACTTATAAGGAAAAAACTGACATTCAGAAAACTCTGATTTGGATGTTCACCAAAACTCAGTTATTAGAGGTTCTCCAAAGTGAATCTACATTTTCTAAAAAGTGAGTTCTAATAAAATAATAAACCAACAAGGTGAACCCCAAATTAGATCTGGAAGTATCTAAGTTCAACCCAGAAACAAACAGTATCTTACAAGGTGTGTTATTTTCCATTCACTTAAATCCCTAAAATGTGTAATCTTGCTAGAAAAAAGAATGCTCTCATCCCTGTATTTGAAAATGGTGTCCCTTGTATTCATACAATTTGACGACTTTCACAGGTCAAACTGTCAAAGTAATTACCATTTCATTAAGCAGACCAATTACTTTATTACGTTTTAAATATCCAACAACGTTTGAACTTTCCTGTAGGCGATCATCTGGGAAGAAGGAGTCATAGGAAATCTGTGTTGAACTATACGTGCCAGGCTTTTTTGTTTTGTTCTAGTATATACCGAAATAGGGGAAACATCATTCTTTAAATTGAAGGGGAAAATATTACTGTCTTTCTTCAATTTCAAAAAGAAAAAAAAACATATGTTGGCTTCTGCCTTTCTCCTCTCACTCTTTGTAGGTCCAAAAGATACCTAAGACACGGAGTTCAGAATTTTGGTACTTACTTAGACGCAGTGTTTACATGTCAGCACAATAAATTGTGAAGTCTTGGAAAATTTGTTTACGGTATTAGTGCTACTTCCTTATGAACAGCATATGCATCTTTTCTTAACATGGTACTTGATGCCAATGTTATGTGCAGTATGATGTAAAGTTATTAGCAGTGGACATACCAATGGTTAGTGGACCAGACCAGCGTCTATTTCTGATCGGGGATGAAGAAGAGTACAAAGTTGGCGGTGGTCTGATTTCTGAACTAAGAGATCCCGTTGTTAAAGCAATGGCTGCAAGCAAGGAGTTTGAAGATCTTGATCAGCAGGAGGAAGAACAGGATGAGGAGAGGAAACGCCAAGAAGTTGAAGAAAGGCATCGAGAAGAAATACAAAAACTTGAAAAAGGAGATCCGTGATGAAAGATTCATCTAAAGGCTGTTTGTTGTTCATACTGTGCTACTCTCCACATTTCGGTTTAAAAGAGTTATTTATAGCATGGGCTTATGCAATTAAATAAGTACTAACAATGAACGCTGATGGAAGAATTTTCTGGTTATTCTTTCTCTTTTTCGTGATATAAGTGCTAGATGAATGTACTGTGAGATAGAGAGAAAGAGAGTATAAGAAAGTAAATTTTGAACCATATTGAAACTTACAACGGAGAGGAATAGTAATTGCTTAAAAGGATCCGTATTTGGCTATTTCAGTTTCATGAATATTATTTCCTATAAGAGTTATATTTACAGTATTGTGATATGTGATGGACCTCGGGATTCTCTGCTGGATGGCGTTCATCGTCATCCCTTAACGGTGGACTGTGGCATTGTGCTGCAATTGCATACCAACGTTGAGTAACTTCCTTTCCTCTTTATTGTATCATTTGCACTCTGCATAGGAAAATTATTCTTCTGCTACTGCAAATGGTCAGTTGGGCACGACTACATGTGGGCGATATACATTTTTGCTGATATTAAAATAAATAGAATTAAAAAACACATAACCCTAAGCTTAGTATTTCATTCCCCTTTAATATGGAGTTCAATACATATTTATATGCACACTTTCTTCTTTATCCTTTTTAAAAATGGTCAAAGTTAATTATAGAAAGTAGATGTCATTGTAGTAACTTAGTACAAAGCATTTGATGTTAAATAGATGACTCATTTTTTTAGATATATCTTTGAGGCAAGGCAGTGTACACTACGTCACTACCTATTGGTATTTGGTTTACTAAGAATGTTTTTACTTTGGATTGTTTTTAGTCTTAGACTAGATACACAGAGAACATACATTTATCATATCAGTCGAAACCAGACTTAAACAGAACAAACCAACAAATTTCAATCCAAATAAAGACATCCTAATTGATATTCAACCCCATTCATTCACTAATGGATATGTTGGTATGGGAACGTTAATAATATAGGTTTGATTAAATATTTAAACCCAATACAATATTGATACTACCTCCGTTCTTTTTTAAGTGCAACATTGGACTTTTTACACTATTCACATATTCTACTTTGAGTATATTTCATTTATTAATGTATTACAAATTAAATTTTAAAAAAATATTGTTAAAATCTTCTCATTCTAAATTTTCAAAATCTGATTTTTTAAAATTTTTTACTAATAGGGAATGAAAGATATTAATGGTCAAACTTATACGTTGACAAACGTGAAAAGTTGACTGTTGCAATTAAAAAGGAACGGAGGAAGTATTAGTTTTTGTAATGAATCATCTAATTTTTCTTAAAAACCATAGAGTATTTAATAATAAGATTACAAAATTGAATTATTATATAATATAACACATTCATTGTAATTTGTAAGTGGATATATATAGCCAATATAGGCCGCCTTTATCTTCCTTTTCTCTCTACATGGTGACGGGCCGATTTGAACACTGAACCTCTCAAGTCTCAACTAGTTGAGTGAGGTGGGTTCGCCCTGGAAAAAGAATTTCATTGAGAAAAGGATAAGTGAAACTATGCGCTTGAGATTGCTTTGTATCCTTCTTTCTCGAGAACTTCAGCTATAGAAATATCTCCAGTCTTCACAATTCTACCGTCCTCCTGAGGGGCAAGAATAGTAATGTTTAAGAAGTAAGAACCAAGCAACTGGAGTGTTAGATGGTGTTTGGCATTGTGCAAAATAAACACTTAGATACAAAGCGTGGGGTTGTAAATAGTGTTTTGTTTAACTTTTTAATGTAGAGGATAAACTGTTTTAATTTATTTTGCATCGAACTATATAAAAAATTACCTTGCACACTGGAAATAAAGAAACACCCACTTTGCATTTTTTATACCCGCATTAACCCAAACAATGCAATATGAATTTATATGCAAAAGTTTATTGTGCAAACTACCAAACGTCTCCTTAGCCCAAAGTCCAGTTGAGGGGATAATTTAACTCTTGTTCTAATTAAAGAAAAGTCAACATCCTTATATTTACTTGCTTTCTTAAAATTTATGTCAAGTACCATGACATGGATGAAGGTTGGCTTAATAAACTCCAACAGTCGCAGATAATGAGTAATCATCACCACTGAATTCGTGGGGGATAATAACCGGTTTACTGCATTTGCAACATCTCGAAGGGCATCAACATCTAAGCCAGAATCAATTTCATCCAATATAGCCAAGTCTGCTCCAAGGACCTGTAACCAAACAGTGTTTTAAAATCTTCTTGCAGTTATCAATTTGTCCAATGCCACAAACAATTAGTACAGGGCTACAGGCACCACACAAATGTAGGAAATTGTTATATTCTTATATTTTTGTTATCTTATACGGAGTATTTATTTATCTTTATCTCATTAGTTTTATCTTACTTTTCTTCTTCTTCTTCGTGTCTGTCTTCTCTTTTTGGCATCGATATCATGGATCGATTCATGTTAGCTGACCCCAAAATCTTTTGGGATTAAGACTTGGATGTTGTTGTATATATAACGTATTACTTTAAAAAACAGTCCCAAACAAAAGTATGTCAAATTTAAAGAAAATGAGTCATGGTGAGGCATGACACTTCTTTGGGATGGAGATAGTATGATTAAAGCATCAAATGCTGATGTTTATGCAAGAATGAAAAAAGGATGTGATAAATATAGGCAATACCGCTAATTGTAAAATCTCATTTCGCTTCTTTTCTCCACCGCTGAACCCTTCATTTACATTCCTGTTCAAGAAGTCTACCTTCATGTTCACAAGTTCAAGTTTTGGGGCAATATATCCATAGAACTGCAAATTGAAGTGAGTGAAATTCCTGTATGGAAAATAAGACCGTATAGATTCATAATGAAACTAAGGGTATCTATGGATGCAAGAATCCGAAGGGGATGGCTTTGGAGGGCTTAGTCTATACCTAGGTAAATTGAACTTTCCAAAAAACGAATAAAGTTGCTGTGAAATGTTAATCTGTATCAACTTTATAAGATCTCAACTGTATATTGAGAATTTGAGATATAGACTAAGTCCTTTAAAGTATTCCTCGCAAAATGCCCTATCCAAAAAAGACCCCTAGAGGGTAAAATATATAGTCAAGAAATGGTTTATTCATATGGGATATCTGAAATGCTAATCCGTAACAACTTTACAAAATCTAAACCATATATTGAGATATACACCAAGTCCTTTAAAGTACTCGGTGCATAACCCTCCATCCAAGAGACCCGTACGGGTAGATATATATTCAAGAAAGAGTTTATTCATAAGGAGAACTATATAATACAGCTAATCATCACTACATACCTCAATTGGTCCAAGTTCTTCCTGTCCAAGTTTCTTTCTCTTGGCATTGTATGCCATGTTCAGAAAATCTATATTACTCACACCTGGAATCTCAACTGGAGTCTGAAAGCTCATGAAAATACCAGATAGAGACCTTTTCTCTGGTTCCATCTTGATCAAATTATCGCCTTTAAATGTCACACTTCCATTCGTAATTTCATAATCTGGATGCCCAGCAAGGACCTATACAAACTTGGTAAAGCGCAAGATTTTTGATATAATAATATAAACTAAATTTGAAGCTCAACAAGCTATGTTTTTTACTGATTATAACACTATACGCACACAAGATAAATCACACAGAATCACACTCCAGGACCACATTATTAAGTGCTTTTAGTTATCATCATAGAATTCAGAAGATAATCAATAACTGGCTTGAAGATAAGATGCAGAGAGGATAGTTTGTGTTCATACGTCTTCACAAAAACAGCTGAAACTCCAAGAAACAAGCACTGACCTTTGCAAATGTGCTCTTTCCCGAACCATTCTTTCCCATCACAGCATGGACCTAAGTAACATCCAATTAACAAAATTAAAGTTCATACCTCCATTTTTTAGGTAAACAACACGATGAGAATATTTCCAATTTGTGAACAAATTATGAAGTATCTACTTCATTTTCTTTTCCAAACAGACTGAGCAGAGGCAATGGTTCTAATTTACAAAATAGTGAAATTTCAGTTCCAACTGAAAAGTACATTAAGCTAATGATGCCAGCAAATAGACCAGCGAGAGCTGCTCACCTCTCCCTCGCGAACCGTTAGGTTAACTCCTTTTAGAATCTGTTGTTTTGACTTGGAGATGACGGCGGATAGGTCTTTTACTTCGAGCAACAATTTCGATTGTCCACCGTTGCAGTCAGAGGCGGTGGGCGCGGGAAATGCGACGGAGACAGCGGATTTTAATTCCAGGGCGCGCCGGCATGGGGGTAAACAAAACCGTCGAGGACGGATGACAGATGCAGTAGAATTTCGAGAACATGAGTTTGAAAATTTGAAGTAATTAAGCTCGGGAGTAGCTATAGCCATGGCGGACTGGAAAACGGAATTACCTTACAGTACAGAACCTGAAGCTGAGGTATGGGAAGATGATGAATAATGAAAGACAAAATGGATTGACGATGTATGTGGTATCGAATCTAAAGGCCCAAATTATATGTGGGCAAAGTATATTGGGCTAATCAAGAAGCTGTATAAATTAGGCTCAACGCCCAACAGCAATAAACAAAAAATACTATAATCATCTTTGATTGGTTTTTCACTCCATTCATATTTGATGGTCCAATATTTTATTTGACAATTTTTACTATACAAAATTGATAGTTAAATTTTTTTAGAAGCTAGATGAGACCATATTCTAAGAAAGGGGATATTTATTAGTGAATTTTAAATCTCAAAACAACATTTAGTTGTTTTAATAAAGTGTAAGTATAAATAAACATAGGCTTCAATACGTACATACAAGAATATACTTCGTATATTAATACAGTAGTAATTAAAACTAAAAAGTAGCTCAAATATTTAATACTTACCTCCATCCCAAATTATTTTGCAAACTCTATTTTTTTTATCGATCGATGTTAAATCTTCTCTATCGATAACTAATTCAACTTTAATAATTAAAATTTTACATATTCAACGAGATCGCATGACCAAGATAGCAAGCCGAACCAATATTGGTGACCTAATAGCGAGACTCGGATTGCCAACCACATGGGGTCTGCTCGGGATTGTCAACCCATCAATTTCCCTGATAGCCAATGTTAAACAAACCACGGGTCTACTTTAGAATTTATTAAAGTTTTTTAAATCAATTTTTAACGCCACCCATCGTAAAAGAAAAAAGTGAGGTGTGTTTTAGAATTAAGAAAATTAATGATTCACACCGGCTATTATTGATGTAGAAGTTGATTAAATAATAATCACGTTATTCCAAACCAGTTACTCCGTATAAGTTATAATCAATCCGGATTAACTTGCACTTTAAAATAGTCCCTTGATTCGCCTCTTCCGTACAAGGCGTTTGGTCAAATTACTTTGACCACACCAGAGAAGTCATGACTGCAATCGCGATTACGTAACTTGTACGTGCTAACTATAGTTTGGAATATTTACAGGTTCACTAAATAAAGTTTTACTTCCAGCAAAGTTGGGAAAACACTTCATATTAGCTACTAATGGTTAGTACTAAACTACTAACATGGAAGAACATGTTTGTGATTTGTCCCAAACATTTTATAGGGATAAGGGATATAAGTACCTGTTTTAGCTCGATTTAATCACGTTATAATCGAACTTACAAATAAATTCGAATGAGAGAAATTGGGATCGTGCAAGAACTTAATTAATATGTGAATGAAAAAATTGTAATATTCTGTAGTGCATAGGATAGTATTAAAGCTGTATAAGTAATATGTTAATAATTACTCTCTTCTAATACTATGAAATCAGAAAACTGAGTGGCTACAAAGTCTGAGTGGAGTTCTCAGTAGCAAAATAATAGTGTCCCTCCTCATTTGTAAAGCTAATTGGCCTTATATATCTGACGCATCCTGTAAAATCTGACATAAATCATAAATATTCATGTTGATGATATTACTAAAACCATAAGCGAAACAATATTCAAAGTTTTTGCAGGATACGATCACACTTGTGGATCCCAACTCGTCATTTGTCCAAAGATGGACGGAATCACCCTATGTTTATAAGGCCAACTCGTCATATGGCCTTAAATAATAGTGTCCCTCCTCATGGATGCGTCAGATTTTTATCCAATTGACGTAGTATGCTCCTTCTCCATCGGATTCGGTAAATAGTTGCTAGAATTTTATCCACTGCTGCGTTATTCCTCCACGTTCTATTCTTTTTAATCCTTATCTGATTATTTGAATTTTAAACACGCTATTATCCTCTACTTCACCCAATCGTGTGGGTTGGGCTGTTGTGGCTTTGTTCAGATTTGGACCAAACATCCTCCTTGTTTGCCAAATTAATTCTTGATCCAACAATTGCCCCCTTTCGAGAAGTTGAAGCGTAGTGGTGCACATATCAATCTGTTAAGCATCAACTTTTCAAAATTTGAAAGAGCCGACTCCTTCCCATCCTTGGCTATTGCGCATATCAACTTGTTATTTGTCTGACGAGACATGTCGTCATCCATCACTCGTATAAAGAGGTGCTTCCTTCAACCCGTCACTTACCTGTCTAGACATGTCGTCAATTTCCATGCAAGTAGTTTTGATTGAATTCGTCTCTTCGACTGGAGCGGTGAAGAACGAAGGCTGATCTCGTATCCTCTTCCTCCAAATTTGTGTTGATGATCACAACTAGGCAATGCTGACGAGTTGAAACTTCGTCCAGATTGATGTCGACACTTTAGTTGGCAAGGGTGATTCCGTCCATCTTTGGACAAATGACGAGTTGGGCTCCACAAGTGTGATCATATCCTGCAAAAACTTTGAATAATGTTTCGCTTATGGTTTTAGTAATATCATCGACATGAATATTTATGATTTATGTCAATGTCGTTTCTAATGTCTCCTTATGTTTTGGAGCTTTTGTTGTCATGCTCTTGGAGCACATGTTTCTGTTGTACTTTTGTAGTTTTGGCCAAAACATTGCGGAGAGCCGGTGGTGTTTATACTTATGTTAAGCGTACATGAAAACCCCACTTATTCCCTTAACATTCTGTAAGCCCCCCGTCAATTGTGTTTTTGTTAGTACCCAATTTTGACAGATTTTGATGATGTCACTATACATTGCATTAATACATTGTGTCTTATTTATTTGCGTATTAGTGTTCAAAAGTGACAAAATAAATGTACAATTTTCGAGACTAATAAAATTATGCTGGGAAGTTAAAATGCAATAAGGTAATTTTTTTTACCTTGATAGGATATTTAAATTCTGCCAGTATAATTTTATTTGTACACAAAAATTAATTAAGTCACACAGGTTCGAAAACACACACATTAAATTAAAATAATTGGAGACAAAACTTGACCAGTATTTAATACTAGATCAAGTACACGGACCTACAGCTGGACGCACACATGGACTGTTTTAGAGAAGATGCTCCAGCGGCTATAATTATTGAAGACAGCCTCATTAAAAGCTCCAGCACAAGAAGACGAATGTACTATTCGTCCTTGCCAGATTTACAACGTCAGAGATTAAATCATCCTAACCAACGGATGAAATTAATCCACAGGAGAAGCCTATAAATAAAGGCTGGAACGAAAGTTTCTAACCAAGCTTTGAGCATCCAAAGTAGAGAAATACTTCTATTGAGCATTAACGAGCTATCTAGCAAAAGAGAAAGTGCGAAACTATACTTTACTCTCTGCTTGGACTCATGCTTCACTAAACTTCAAAGTCACAAGTTTTCATCGATAAATCCTAGAAGTTTAGTTCCTAGTTGGAGGTTAGAACTTTCTTGTAACATTTCACAAATTGTTTGATGGAGTATATGGCCCGAGAACCCCCGGCCCAAACACTCCTACTACTCCAGCGAAGGCCCAGCAGGCCCAACAGGCCCAAATCACAGCGCCCAGAGTGCCAAGCAGCCCGCACTACGCGCCAGGGGTGCCTTCGGCCCCCTGGCCGAAGGCTCTAAATTCTCACAGGACGGGTTTCTCAAGCAAACTAAGAAACTGGGAGAAAACGGCGAAAACAGTAGCCCTCGGCACTATGAGCCCTCGGCACCCGGGGGTAGCCATCGGGTGGAAGAGCCCTCGGCTGCTGCTCTATGGCCGAAGGCATCTCACTCGACAAGATATCCGCCTCACATGCGTACAGATCACCGTACCCCGCACAGACGTCCCATCCAACAGCCGCATTAAATGCGGCCACATGCGGCTGCCAGCGCCAACCAGTTGAGGCGACCCCTCGGCCAATAAGCGCTTGACACGTGTCCCTGCCCGGCATTTATTGCTACTATAAATAGCACCCCATTTCCCCATTTGTAACCACGCTGAAAACGTTCCACATTTATAATACACTCTCTCTCTATATATTTACTTGCTCTGACTCCTCTCTAAGTTATTCCCCGTAGTAACCCTTCGGATATATACCCCCGGGTAGACTATCCATCATTTGGTGCTCTCGTTGAGAGGTTGAACAATCGAGTAAGAAACCCTCCCCCTCGACCAAACACAAAACACTAGCCCTCTATCAAAATGGTGAGGACAACACGTGCCAACTCAAAGAACGTAGAAGACAAGAACCTGCCCCTCGACGACGTCAACGCCCCCGAAGCCTCTCACAGGGCTCCCGAGGGCGGTGTCCTCGCTGGGCTGGAACAGGCGGCTGTCGACCTACGCCTTCAGATCCAACAAAACGCCCCCGATGCCCGCCTCGGCATCGAGGCCAAGAAGAAAAACCGGAGCGATGACCAAGTCAACCCTCCGGTTCTCACCATCGACGTACAATCGGCGCTCTCCGCCTTCATCCAAACGCTCACCCAGAACCCGGGTGCCTTCGGCACCCTGGCTCCAGCTCACCCTCAGATCGGGGAAAATATCATACTTCCCCCTCTGCCACACCCCTTCGGAAATCCAACCCCTCGGGTGAGAAACGACGAGGGGGTGGTGGCCCAAGAAACATCCTCCCAGGAAGTTCAGTCCCGGGACCGCCATAATGACAACAGGGAGAGGCCCCGCACTTCCGCCCTCAACCGGCTCGGAGGAGGGCCAGACCGCCGAGGGGTCCAAGACCGCCTCGGGGGGAAAGCACTCCAAAAGCCCCAGGAAAGCGGGGGATCTGTTTCGAGGGCAGACGAGGAGCGTCCCCCTCGGGACAAAGGCAAGGCACCCCTTCATGCCGATGATGCTCGGCACCAAATCAACCAGGCCCACTCGGCCCGGGTTCGTTCGCAGGGGGCGGAGACCCTCCCGAGGGACCCCCGGGACGAGATCATTGCGGCCCTCCAACGCCGGCTTGACGAGATGGAGTCCAACAAAGCTCACGCCACCACCTCCACCCCTCACTCAGACCTCAAATACGAGGCCATGATGGCCAAAATGGAGGAACTACAGAAGAAGGTGGTCGAGGGCTCCGGGGAACCCGTCATCCAGCTCCGGACTCGGACGCCATTTACCCCAAGGGTATTGGCGGCCCGGATCCCGGAGAAATACCGAGGGCAACACATACAGCCCTACAGCGG